GTAATAGAGCTTGGTATCTGGTATTGTGATCCCTACAACTTTGTTCTCAGGATTGCTTTGGCTATTTGGGGTCTTTTTTTTATTCCAGACGAATTTTTGGAGAGTTTATTCTGGGTCTGTGAATTATGCCATTGGTATCTTAATGGGGATTGCATTAAATATATAAATTGCTTTGGGTAGTATGGACATTTTAATGATGTTAATTCTACTAATCCATGAACATGGTATATTCTTCCATTTGTTTGTCTTCCTCTATCTTTTTTTTCAGTGTCCTATAATTTTCCGAGTACAGGTCTTTTACCTCTTTAGTTAAGTTTATTCCTAGGTATCTTAATTTTTTTTGGTGCAACAGTAAATGGGATTGTTTTTTTATAGAGTTGGATATTTATCTTAATTCATTCTGCCAGTCTGCTTCATGATTGAATAATTTAATCCATTAATAGTTAATGAAACTACTGATTAAAAAAGACTTCTGCCATTTTACTGTTTCTATATGTCTTATACCTTTTTCGTTCATTTTTTCCATTACTACCTTCTTTTGTGTTTAGCTGATTTTGTTTTTTAGTGAATTGTTCTGATTTCCCTCATATTTCCTTTCCTATGTTTTAGATGTTTTCTTTATGGTCACCAAAGGGATGACATTTACCTCTAAATTTATAACAATTTAGCTTAAATTGATACCAACTTAATTTCAAGAGAACGCAAAAACTATGCTCCTATATAGCTCATCTTCCATCCCTTTATGTTATCACAAATTATATCTTTGGACTATATATGCCCAATGAATAACATATTTGTAATTATTATTCATTCATTATTTTTTAAATTCTGTAGGAAATAAGGACAGTTATAAATTAAAATTACAATACCAGCTGTACTGATTAATAATATGGATTTTTTTCAATAGATGTAGTTACACATGTTGATATATATGCGATTTGATATGTATGCTATTTTGTATTGACAGCAAGCTTCAAAACTTCATATATCAAATTTTCTGAAGGTGTTAACATCATAGATATTTTTATGCTTAAAAATGTTGAATTTTGTGCCAAAAAGAGCATTTGCGGGAAGTTTTAATTCACTACTTTATTGTGAAGAAAAGTGCTGCTGAAAGTTAACATATACTTTGGGAAGCTTATGGTGAACAGGCTCCATCTCAAGGTATTTGTGAATGCTGGTTTAAACGCTTTAAAAGTGATGATTTCGATGTGAAAGACAAAGAATGTCCAGGTTAACCAAAAAAGTTTGAAGACCAACAATTACAAGCATTATTGCATGAAGATGCATGTCAAACTCAAAAACAACTTGCAGAAAGATTAAATGTTGCTCAAAAAACAGTTTCCAATAGTTTACAAGCAATGGAAAAGATTTTAAAGGAAGGAAAATGGGTGCCACATTAACTGAACGAAAGACAAACGGAAAACCAAAAATTCATCAGTAAAATGTTGCTTCAACAGCATGAAAGAAAGTATTGCATCCAATTGTGACTGGCAATGAAAAGTGGGTTTATTTTGAGAATCCCAAATGCACAAAATCATGGGTTGATTCAGGTCAACCATCAACATCGACTGCAAGGCCAAATCGCTTAGGAAAGAAGACAATGCTCTGTGTTTGGTAGGATCAGGAAGGTGTGGTGTATTATGAGTTTCTAAAACCAGGTGAAACCATTAATACTGATGGCTACTGACAACAAACAATCAATTTGAACCACGCTTTGATCGTAAAATGACCAGAATGGCCCAGAAGACATGGCAAGGTAATTTTGCTTCATGATGACGCACCATCACACACTTCAAAACCAGTTAAAGACACGTTAAAAGATCTTGCCTGGGAAATTAAATTAGCCCACCCGCCATAATCACCAGACCCTGCTCCCTCAGATTACTGCTTGTTCCAATCGATGGCACACGCACTTTCTGAGCAGCACTTCAAAACATACGAAGAAGTGGAAAATTGGGTCTATGAATGGTTTGCCTCAAAACAAGGAAAGTTCTAGTGGGACGGTATCCACAAATTACCTGAAAGATGGGGAAAATGTGTAGCTAATGATGGACATTACTATGAATAAAGCACTTCTGATGTTTCTCTTGAAATTATCGTGTTTTCTTTGATTACAAAATCTACATTAACCAGTACACCTGGTAACATTGGCTTTTATATTTGCCCATTTATTTATCTTTATTGAAAATCTGTATTTATCATACTAGAGGCCCGGTGTGTGAAATGCGTGCACTGGTAGGGTCCCTAGTGATTGCCGGCTGCAGCCTCCCTGCCACGGCCATTGGTGGCCGGGGCCTCCCTCCCTTCCGTGGCTAGCCCCACCCCTTGGTCAAACTCCAGGATGAACTCCCGGTCGAGGAAACAATTTGCATACTATGCTTTTATTATACGGTAGGTCCCTGGGTTATGTCGGAGATCCGGTCCTACGGCGCGACGTAACACGATTTTCACCGTAAGTTGGAATCCACCTACATAAGCACCTTCATCACTCACATGGAGCACATATACTGCAGTAATGAAGTGAAACAGTAAAAAAAAATTTTTTTAAAAAGATAATTCCTGACCTGTACTTGTGGTAAATAAATAATAAAAAACTTAAAGCACGTATGTACATATATCAAAATGATGGAAATTTTTTTTTTTATATAAATAAATGGGAGATGGTGACGTAACCATGAAACGACATTCTGAGTCCGACATAACCCGAGGACTGTCTGTATAAGAGGATGGCTCTGGTCATTTCAATCTGAAGGGTTACCTTTAGCACTTCTTGTATGACAGGTCGAGTGGCAATGAACTCTCTCAGCTTTTATTTATCTAGAAATATCTCACATTCTCCCCATTTTGGAGGATAGTTTTGCCAGATACAGAATTCTTGGTTGAGAAGTTTTTTTCTTCCAACATTTTAAATATGTTATCTCATGCCTTCTGGCCTCCATGGTTTCTGATGAGAAATTGGCTGTTATTCCTATTGAGGATCATTCATATATGACAAGTTGCTTCTCTCTCAATGCTTTCAAGATTCTCTTTCGCTTTTGACAGTCTGCTTATGTCTTGGTATGGGTATCTTTGAATTTATCCTACTTGGAATTTTTTGCACTCCTCAGATTTGTAGATTCATCTTTGTTTAAATCTGGGAATTTGGAGAACTTCTTTCCTCAAATATTCCTCTACTTCTTGCTCTTCCGCTTTTATTTCAGTGACTTCTTTAATGCATTTGATGATCCACTTGATGGTGTTCCAGAGGTCCCTTAGGCTCTGTTCACTTTTCATTCTCTTCTTTACCTCAGACTGGATAATTTCATGGACCTATTTCTACATTTGCTGATTCTTCTGTTAGCCCTTTGTATGCCATAAGCATCTATTATGGCATATGGAGATGGTTTCTGTTTTGGATGCATGGTGGTTAACTGGTTAAATATCTCCAGTGAATTTTACATTTTTGTATTTTTAAGCTTTAGAATTTGTTTGGTTCATTTGTACAATTTCTTTTTATTGATATTTATTTTTTAATATATTTTTTTCTTGAATTCCTTTAGTTTTTTGTCTCTATTTTCTTGAACTCTTTGAGGATATTGAAGATAGTTGTTTTAAAGTCTTTGTCTAGTAAGTTTGATTCCCAGAGTTCATCAGGAATGTTTTTTGTCAATTTGTTTTGTTCCTTTTAATGAGTCATACTTTCCTGTTTCTTTGTATGCCTTGTAATTCTTAAAAAAAATTTTTAAAAAATATATTTATTTTGATTTCAGAGAGAAGAAGGAAGAGGGAGAGAGAGATAGAAACATCAGTGGTGAGAGAGTCATTGATTGCCTGCCTCCTGCATGTCCCCTACAGGGGATTGAGCCTTCAACCTGGGCATGTACCCTAACCAGGAATTGAACTGTGACCTCCCAGTTCATGGGTTGATACTCAACCACTGAGCCACATCAGCTGGGCATGCCTTGTAATTCTTTTTTGAAAACTAAACATCTACATATTAAAATGTAGTAACTCTGGATAAGAGATTCTCCACCTTCCCCAGGGTTTGCTATTTTCTGGGTTACTGAATTTGTTCAGTGAATTTTCCAAACTAATTTTGAAAAAATCCATTGTATTCCTTGTTGTGCATGGTCACTGAAATCTCCGCTCCTTAGCTGTGTTAAGCTGACAGAGAGATTTCCTTGAACATTAATAGCTAAACAAATAAAAAAACCCGACAAAAACAAAAAAGTATTCTCCTAATCTTAGCAGAATGAGTCTGCAGGGGCACTCCAATGCTAATACCTGGGCTTGCAAAGCTAATACCAGAGCCTGAGGCAAAAGCTTAGGGTTTTTGCAGGTCTATTCTGAGCATAAACATTGTGCCTTGGACATCTGCATGGCGTTCTAAATTTCCCTGGACACATGGGGCTTTTTAATGCTCTAGTTTGCCAAAGAATCTTTCCCTAGCTTTTGCTCCTTACACGATCTTTGGGCCTCTCATAATCTATTGTATGTTTCAATAATAATCTTTTGCTTTGGATGTCTGAAGTTTATTAGTTTGGCTTATTGTATTTCTACTCATTGCCTGCAGCCTATCTACCTGAGCTCTGAGTTATATCAAACAGAAACATGGGCCCTGCATAAATCCTTCAGGTAGTGCCAGACAGGTTATAACAGATGTATAAAACAATTTGTGAGTAAGGTTTGTTCTGCTCCTTCTGTAACCAGAGCTTATACAGGAAATGTGGGAACCCTTCACTGCCACTGCATCAGGAAGGGACTGGTGTCAGGGCAAGTATAAATGCCATAAAGTTATTCAGAGTTCTGGGAAATTTTGTTCTGACAGTTTCTGCTTACTTTTGTTTCTTTGTTTCTTAGTGGGGATAAGAACTTGGAATGGCCTACTCTGCCATTTTTGCCAACCCAAAATTTTAAATTCTGAAACTAAATTTTAAATGTTGGTGGTCAAAGAACCTAGTAAGGATTTAAAACATTTTTTATGCCTAGCAGATCTAGATACTTTTTTAATTACATACCATTGGAGTGCGATGTTTCACTTTGGTCTGGATAACACCATCTTTTTCGAACTGTACCATATCATTAAGTGGGTCCCATGGTCGAGTACTACATAAGCAATAAAAACACCATTTGTTTAATGATTAAATAAAACACTTAACATTTTCAAAGTTTAGATTAGATTTTATTTAGTAATTATAAACCTAGCAGTAAAATTAAGATATGTCATATCTAATTTTCTGATCCTCAGCTTATTTTATAGACTAACAATTATCATGGATTCAAATTTATAATAAATGGAATAAGTTTAAATCTCACATTAATTTACACACACACACACACTCACACACATTATATATACACACACACACACACACACACACACACATATACGTATATATATATGTGTATATATGTATATATGTATATATATGTATGGCTTAATAAAAAACTAACAAAAATTCTAGAAATAAAGGCAACAAATTATGCTGATAATTACTTACTCTGCAAACTTGTAATGCCATTCTCCTGTGAGTGGCTCAAGTTCAAATAACTTGCAAGTCCACTCTTCATTTTTTGTTTTCCGATCTCTGGCAGATTGTCTTTGAGCTTCCTCTAAAACATACTTCTCTTGAGTAGCTTCTGTTTGGTCTTTTGCATTTATGGCTCGAGTTACTTGCTGCCAAAGTCTAATACATGTACAAAAATAGTATAAAAAGCAACAGAAAATCAAATCTACATTGAACAGGTTTAAATCTCCTTTAAAGAAAATGATACCTGTGTGTGTTTTTGTCTTTGACAAAGCTTATACTGAGATGCTTAGAAATGAGTGCAGATATAAAAAGTGGTCCTTGAGTAGAGCAGCAGTGGAAACTAATTTTTTTTCTTGGCAATAGAAATTTATTAACATGGACTCTTTTTTAAAAATATATTTTTATTGATTTCAGAGAGGAAGGGAGAGAGATAGAAACATCAATGATGACAGATAATCATTGATCAGCTGCCTCTGGCACGACCCCCACTGGAGATTGAGCCCACAATCCAGGCATGTGCCCTTGGCCGAAATTGAACCTAGGCCAGTGATGGCGAACCTTTTGAGCTCGGCGTGTCAGCATTTTGAAAAACCCTAACTTAACTCTGGTGCCATGTCACATATAGAAATTTTTTGATATTGGCAACCATAGTAAAACAAAGATTTATATTTTTGATATTTATTTTATATATTTAAATGCCATTTAACAAAGAAAAATCAACCAAAAAAATGAGTTCACGTGTCACCTCTGACACGCGTGCCATAGGTTCGCCATCACTGACCTAGGACCTTTCACTCCGCAGGCCCGACACAGCTAAACCATCTAGGACTGGACTCTTAAACGTATGGCAATGAATGGTACTGACCCAAGATGAGAGAAATCTGGGAATGGGCCCAAGTATTTTTATTTTTTTTTAAATAAATTTTTACTGCTTTCAGAGAGAAAGGGAGAGGGAGAGAGAGAGAGACAGAAACATCAATGATGATAATCATTGATCGGCTGCCTCCTGCATGCCTCCCACTGGGGATCGAGCCCACAACCCAGGCATGTGCCCTTGACTAGAATCAAATCTGGGACCCTTTAGTCCACAGGCCAATGCTCTATCCACTGACCCAAACTGGCTAGGGCCCAAGTATTTTTTTTTAATGCTTCCCAGGTGATTTTAATGTGCAGCCAGTGTTGAGAACCACTGATTTACCAGAAAAGACTATTGAGATAAAATTTTTCCCCCTACTAAAGTTTAGTTTTATATCAGAAAAATAAAAATATAGTATCTATATTCCACTAATCTGGGAAAACAGTATGTTGGGACTGAAAGAACAAAGGCTTTGGAATTAGACTTGGGTTGAATCCTAGCTCACTTCTTGGATATGAACTTAAAATTACTTACACTGCCTCAGACTGGTTTTCTTCACCTTTAAAATATGTTAAATTATGTTCTCACCTCAAAAATTATTGTATGCCTTGGCAAAACTTCATTCTAAATGAAGAGCATCATGTGGTTATAGCTGAAACAGAATTTTAGGACTTGCGCATACATATTATTCCATCTTTGACAACCTCAATTTTAAGTGTAGAAGGAAAATACACAAACACTTGAATCATTTAGAGAGTATGATAACGCATGTGAGTTTACTAAACTGCATAATGTGTATCAAGTACTCAGTATAGTGTCTTTTACACAAACACCCCCTTCTAACACAAAGAAATATACTGTAGTAAGGCCCAGCTGGGCTCAGTGGTTGAGCAGTTCACGATTCAATTCCCAATCAGGGCACATGCCTGGGTTGCGGGCTTGATCCCCAGTGTGGGGAATGCAGGAGGTAGCCGATCAATGATTATCTCTCATCATTGATGTTTCTACCTCTCTTTCCCTCTCCCTTCCTCTCTGAAATCAGTAAAAATATAATTTAAAAAAAAAAGAAATATAGTAAGAATAAAATTGGATAATGTGTATATAATATATTTGGTTTAAAAGATTACAGATCTAGCTATCAAGAATTTCATGACTTTAAGAGCAGAAACTATGGCCTTAATTATTACCCAACTAATCCAAGTCTGCACATGCAATGGCATTATTCATGTATTTTCAAAAAATGAAACAAAAGTAGATTTTGTGCCATATCCTTCACCTAGAGATCGAGATGTCCTACCCAGGTCAGAAAACAGCTGCCAAAGAATCATTAATTAGTGCCATAATTGTATGCAAAAAAACCTAGAAGTTCTTTTATTTGACATTCACATAAACTACAACAGAATCCTGACACATCCCACAAATATTAAACTATTTTTGCTGAATTAAAATATAATTGAAGGCAGAGAAAAATGACTACACTTTTAAGGGATTAAAAATATACTCTTTATCATCATGAAATTAGCTGAAAAATGGTATACTTACTTCTCTGATTCAAAGTCTCCCTGCTCTTCAAATTTTACAGTGTGCCTTATTAATCTCCATTGCTTAATGTCTGGTGTTGGATTCCAGAAAACCTCTGAATTATCAGTCTTTTTGTCATTAATAAAAACTTCACTATCCTGTATTTAAAGAATTGAAACATTAATGTGGAGAATTATCTTTATTTAAAAAGGAGATTACACAATATAGTAATGTAATAATAATATGTACTGATACTTAATCCCACAGATAAACACATTTTAAAAACAAATATAACTAGCATTTTTCTAAAAAACCCAAATCTTTCCTCATTTTTAGAAAAACACCAAGGTTAAATATGTAATACTAGAATTTTAAAATCTGATTGTTTAAAATTTTAAACACAGGAAGTTCATGAGATTTCACAAGTTTTACTTAATAAGCAAATTTCAAACAAATATATGCAAAGCCTCACCAACCATCTCCGAATTGCCACAGTGGATCACAGTGTTTGCTACAGCTACAAGGAGATGACTATTTATACATCCAACATATGTAGAAAAACCTGAAAGAGCCTTTCTAAGCATTAAACATTTGAGCACAATCTGAAAAATTTCATTTTTTGAAAAACTTTTTATCATTTTCCCAATGATATTCAGATAGAAGTAAATTAAAAAATATATTATTGAATTCAGAGAGCAAGCGAGAGGGAGAGAGATAGAAACATCAATGATGGGAGAGATTGGCTGCCTCGTGCACACCCCCCACTTGGGGGATCAAGCCCGCAACCCAGACATGTGTCCTTACCAGTAATTGAATCGTGACCTCCTGGATCATAGGTCGACACTCAACCACTGAGCAACACCGGCCGGCCATATAGAAGTATAATTTTAAAATTACAGAGGGCCCTGTGGTTGAGTTTCTAGATCCAGTTTCATTTTCTTACATTTCTTACCATTTCCTGCTTATTATAATGCATAAAGTACTCAGTGTTCGTAGTGAGAATGCACCCAGGCAATGGCATGGTCTGATCCTTTTTATTCAGTTAAGCTTTTCTTAACAAAAATACATAGATGTGAATTTAGGTCAATAGTGAAGTAAATAAAACTCACTGCTCTCATATACAACCATAGCCTTTCCATGTTCCTGAAAAGGAAATACAACTCTAATGGGAAATGCCCCTTCCTTCTAGGTGAGAGGCAGTATACTGTTGAAATAAAAGCACAGTCCTGGACCCACAGTGCTTAGGCTGGAATTCTTACTCCAGCACTTACTTTCAGCAAATTATTTTATATTATATATATACTAGAGGCACGGTGCAAAAAATTTTGTGCACTCGGGGGGGTCCCTCAGCCCGGCCTGTGCCCTCTCGCAGTCGGGGACCCCTCGGGAGATAACGCCCTGCTGGCTTAGGCCTGCTCCCGGGTGGCAGAGGGCAGGCCCAATCCCTAGGTGCAGCCCCTGGTCGGGCTCAGAGCAGGGCCGATTGGAGAGTTGGGGCGCCGCCCCCTGTCACGCACAGAGCAGGGCAGATTGGGAGGTTGCGATGCCACTCTCAGTCACGCTCAGGGTAGGGCCAATTGGGGGGTTGGGGCACTGCCCCCTGTCACACTAAAGGCAGGGTCGATGGGGAGGTTGCGGCACCACCCCATCATGCACAGAGCAGGGCCCATCAGGGGGGTTGGGGCTCCGTACCCTGTCACGCACAGAGCAGGGCCCATCAGGGGGGTTGGGGAGCTCCCCCCTGTCACGCACAGAGCAGGGCCCATCAGGGGGGTTGGGGAGCTCCCCCGTCATGCAGAGCAGGGTCAATGGGGGGGTTGAGGAGCTCCCCCCAGTCACACACAGAGCAGGGCCCATGGGGAGTGGGGTGGGGGTTGGGGAGCTCCCCCCTGTCACACACAGAGCTGCAGGGTGATCAGAGAGTTGGGGAGCTCCCCCCTGTTACACACAGAGCAGGGCGGATCAGGGGGTTGGGGCGCTTTCCCCTGTCACGAACAGAGCAGGGCGGATAGGGAGGTTGTGGCCCTGCCCGCTGTCACACACAGAGCTGCAGGGCGATCAGGGGGTTTGGGTGCTGACCCCTGTCACGCTGATCCCGGTGCTGGGAGGCATATTACCCTTTTACTATATAGGATAGAGGCCTGATGCATGGGTGGGGCTGGCTGGTTTGCCCTGAAGGGTGTCCTGGATCAGGGTTGGGGTCCCCACTGGGGTACCTGGCCAGCCTGGGTGAGGGGATGATGGCTGTTTGCAGCTGGTCACACACCCTTCAGGGTGGGGGTCCCCACTGGGGTGCCTGGCCAGTCTGGGTGAGGGGCTGAGGGCTGTTTTCAGGCTGGGACTGAAGCTCCCAACTGCTCCTTTTTTTCTTTTTTTTTTATTCTGGGCCAGCTTTAGCTCTGGCTCCAGCTCTGAGGCCTCGCTGCTGAAAGCAGGTATCTGGTTTGTTTGGGTTCTATAATCTCGAAACCCTGTATCAATTCCAGCTCTGAGATCCCGGCCGGCTGAAAGCTGGTTTCTGGGGTTTTGTTTAGCTTCTATATCTGTTACAATGTTTCAAACTGCAAGCTCAGAGGCCGGCAAGGCAGGCGGGGAACGTTGCAGTCCTCCGTCACTGAAGCAGGCAAGCCTCATATTCGCTTCCAGCTGCCTGGCTGCCGGCCGCCATCTTGGCTGGCAGTTAATTGGCATATTGCCCTGATTAGCCAATGGGAAGGGTAGTGGTCGTATGCTAATTACCATGTTTCTCTTTTATTAGATAGGAGATATATATATATATATATCGATTTCAGAGAGGAAGGGAGAGGGAGAGAGATAGAAACGATAGAAACATCAATGATGAGAGAGAATCACTGATTGGCTGCCTTCTGCCTACCCCCTATTGGGGATCGAATCAACAACCCGGGCATATGCCCTTGACTGGAATCGAACCTGGGACCCTTCAGTCCGCAGATCAACGCTCTGTACACTGAGCCAAATCGGCCAGGGCAGCAAATTATTTAAACTCTCTGTGCCTCAGTCTCCTCTGTAAAATAGGGACAATAACAGTAACCACCACAAAGAATTATTATATTAAACAGTAAATGAGTTAATATGAGGAACATTTATAAACACTGCAGTGCATAGTAAGTGACATATGTGTTAGTTGGTTTTACTGATTTAAAGTTTTGGAAAGATAAAATATGACATACAAGTAGATACTGTTGGTAACAGAGCAACACCAAAATATTTGTTAGGGTGAAGCTTATGGTAAATAGTGATGATTTTAGCAATGGAATCAGTGAGTTTATAAAATGTGATTGTTAATTCTTTTCCATAGAAAATGCTTTTGTTAAGCTAAACATAAAAATACTTACCCAATGGCCTTCCAAAGTAGCTAAGACTTCTTTTCCCAGTTTAAGTTTCCCTGATATTTGGTTAACACAGTCACTATTACCTAAAAATGGCTTTTAAAAAACAAAACGTTAAATAAATATTTTGCTTTTAACTTAAATTTAGATACAATGTGACAAAAACAATAGGAAAAGTAAGTGCATAGTTACAGTGATGTTGAAGGCACAAATGGTGAAATACTGACTCAAACTTTAGTCAGAAATGCTCAATAAATAGAAATTTGAAGTTGTTGACATGGAAAAAAATAGCTTAAAAAAACCAGACTACATGAAGTTCAAATAAACTTACTGAGAAAGATCACACTGATCTAACTGACAAGTCCTGTGCTATCTCCTGCCTCAGACTGTATTCTATCAATGTTGCAATAGATAAGCAAAAATAACTCAGTAAACCTAAAGGACTTAACTCATCTATTAAAAGAAATAACATCCCCTCCTTCAAAATAAAACAGTAAAATAATACGCAACCAAAAGTACCTCCAAAAAATAAAATTAGAAGAACTACACTTTGAGTTACTATGTTGCATTACTGATGTTTCTCCTCAGTGATAAAATTTTGGTGCTCCAGTCTAATCGTTAAAGATATTATAAATTACTTAAGAGCTCTTTAGTCATGATTTTCAAATATCATTATCACCATACAAGCAAAAATTTGTTAAGATGAAAAAAAAATCAAATGAAGGACATTACATCAAATAACACTTAAAAGAGATCCTTTTTATTAGTAAAAAGTTGCTGGTCAGCTGGATATCAACATGGGAATTATTAATAAATATTAATAGTTCATAGAAATATTTTTATCTGAACATAATGTACTATCTTACATCAATCACTGACACTGTGAAAGGCCTTAAATTTCCCTTTCACTCTAAACAGACAGGATTTTCCAAAGATTATCTCAAGCATATCTATCCTTCCCCCTCCAGCCCACATGCTCTTCCTCAATGATGCCCTGCCATCTTCCCAGTGAGAAGTGGAGTGTACATCCCTTCCCCTTGAATTTGGGTAGGTTTATAACTCTTCAATTAATAGAGAGTGGTGGAAGTGATGAAATTGGACCTTTGAGTCAAGGACGGCAATGCAGTTTTCACCTTACTCACAAGAACACTTACACTTGAAATCCTGAGCTGCCAAGTGGTTGTTAGTCTGATTGTCTTGAAGCGGCCAACTGGCTGTGAGAAGGCCAGGGTACATGGAAAGGCCACATATATAGGTGTTAAATTAGCAGTCCTAGTCTTTCAGTCATCTGGACCAGGCATCAGACACATAACTAACTGATGAGCCTTCAGATGGTTCTAGGCCAGCCGTGGGCAAACTACAGCCCACAGGCTGGATCCGGCCCGTTTGAAATGAATAAAACTATTGGAAAAAAAAGACCGTACCCTTTTATGTAATGATGTTTACTTTGAATTTATATTAGTTCACACAAACACTCCATCCATGCTTTTGTTCCGGCCCTCTGGTCCAGTTTAAGAACCCATTGTGGCCCTCAAGTCAAAAAGTTTGCCCACCCCTGTTCTAGGCCATAACTGTGGTCACTCAGTCTGCAAGTCTTTCTAACTGAAGCCCCAAACATTATGTGGCAGAGATAAGCCACTTCCAATATATTCTATCCAAATTCCCAACCCACAGAACCCCTAAGGATCAAAAAATTGTTGTTTTTAAGCTTGTGAGTTTTAGAGTAAATTGTTAGTTAGAAATAACTAATACAACTCTCAGTGTACACAGCTATAGCTCAAGCGGATACATACTTTTTTGGTTTTTGTGAAGCAATACTTTCATTTACTGAAAAATTTATATCCATTTATTTCTTAGATTTCATCTCATATAATGCAAACCACTTTATTAAAATGAAGAAATAAAAAATGATGGCTCTGTAGTGATCTGGATCTTCCAAGACTGCCCTTTCATGAATTCTGTGTTATTATATTTAGTCTTTAAATTATAAACTAAACTGTGTTCTTTTCTTAGTATTTATATCACAGCTCCTTTTTTTATTAGGTTATACGTCCTATTTTTCACTACTAACCTTTAGTTTAAATTCAAGTATTGCACTGTATCCAGTTTTCTGACATGTAATATTGACCGTTCCACCAAGCTCAAGTGTCATTGTGCCATAAAGAATTCCTAAAGAAAAAAAACAATTTTGACAGAAGGTTGAAGAGAGAGATACTGGCTAATAACAAGCAGAGCTTTAAAATCTAATTTCATTCTAGGAGAAACTAAAAATGCAAGGGTACTCCATCCCACTCAGTAACAATTTATAATATACATATAAAGTTAGTTCTATAGAATTTGACTAGATGATAGTTGATCCACATTATCTGTAGATTCTACATCTGCATATTCACAAACACACTGAAATACATTAGTAATCTCCAAGTCACTACCCACAGCACTGTTGCAGTCATTCATGAACATGGGCAGAGTGTTGAAATTTTGAGTTGTTATCTGTTCTTGGAACAAGCTGTAAGGCAGTTTAAAATGCTCACTTCCAAGAGGGGAACAAACTGTGCAAGGCTTCTCATTCTTACTGGGTTATGGAACACTAATTTTATAAAACAATGTTCATTTCCAAAAGGGGAACATACTATGCAAGGCTTCTCATTCTTATTTGGCTACGGAACTCTAATTTTGTAAAACAGACTAGTGATCTGGGGAACACATCTTAGAAAATACAAAGGGTAAAAATAATCATTATTTCCTATGCTCATTCACTAAAAGTTATAATCTCGTCTTCCTTCCATGCAATAAAAACAACGCTATGAAAAAAGTTGCCCCTGTTGCTAGTTGGGTTATGGTATTGGGTACTTACATGAAATATTTCACATGATATAAAATTTAAAAATATATTTATCAATTCATTTCATAATTTCAGATATTTCACTTCATGTCTATTTCAAGAACCACACATGAAACTAAGAATTATCTAGCTACTGGCCACAGGTTGGCCATTCTTGTACTTAGTACTAGGTAGATTCATGGTACAGTAGATGGGCATCAACAAGCATAGAGTTTATTCTCAGTTCTCACTAACTAGCTTGTTTGGCCTTGGATAAGATTCTTAACCCTCCCAGTTTCTTCCTCTGTGAAATGAGGTCATATGAAATAAGTTATATGTTTTCATGATCAGTTCCTAAAATAGAGGAGCATTACCAAAAATAGTTATTTTTAAGAAATAGGTTGGCCACAGTCGGCGTGGCTCAGTCGTTGAGCATTGACCTATAAACCAAGAGGTCACAGTTTGATTCTCGGTCAGGGCACACGCCCAGGTTGTGGGCTCAATCCCCAGTAGGGCGCATATAGGAGGCAACCAATCAATGATTCTCATCACTGATGTTTCTCTCTCTCTTCCCCCTCTCCTTTCCTCTCTGAAATCAATTTAAAAAAAATGAGTTAGAAAGGAGAGTATAGTCAGTGATGGCGAACCTATGACACGCGTGTCAGAGGTGACAAGCGAACTGATTTTTTTGGTTGATTTTTCTTTGTTAAATGGCATTTAAATATCCTATCTAATAAAAGACAAAAAGGGTAATTGACTGTACCTTCACTACGCTTCCCATTGGCTAATCAGGGTGATATGCAAATTAACTTCCAACCAAGATGGCGGCCGACAGCCACACAGCTGAAGCGAGCAGGAGGCTTGCTTGCTCCAGTGATGGAGGAAGCCAAGGTTTCCCGCCTGCCGCGGCCTGGCTCTAAGCTCCGAAAGCAACAAAGTTTCAATTATAGAAGCTAAACAAACCACAGATACCTGCTTTCAGCAGGCCGGGGCCTCAGAGCTGGAGCTGGCTCTCAGCTCCAGTGACAGCAATGAAGTTTCAATTATAGAAGGTAAATAAATCCCAGAACAAAAAAAAAAAAAAAAGAAAAAGAGGAGAGGCTGGGAGCTTCAGTTGCCGGCCAGCCTGAAAACGGCCCACAGACCCTCACCCAGACTGGCCAGGCACCCCAGTGGGGACCCCCACCCTAAAGGTGGTGTGGCCAGCCTGAAAACAGCCATCAGCCCCTCATCCAGGCTGGCCAGGCACTCCAGTGGGGACCCCCACCCTGAAGGGGGTGTGACCAGCTGCAAACAGTCATCATCCCCTCACCCAGGCTGGCCAGGCACCCAAGCGGGACCCCCACCCTGACCCGGGACACCCTTCAGGGAAAACCAGCTGGCCCCCACCTGTGCACCAGGCCTCTATACTATATAGTAAAAGGATAATATGCAAACTGACCCTAACAGCAGAAAGACTGGGAATGACTGGTCACTATGACACACACTGACCACCAGGGGCAGACGCTCAATGCAGGAGCTGCCCTCTGGTGGTCAGTGCGCTCCCACATGGGGGAGCTCTGCTCAGCCACAAGCCAGGCTGATGGCTGCCAGTACAGTGGTAGTGGTGGGAGCCTCTCCTGCCACCTCAGCAGCACTAAGGATGTCTGACTGCAGCTTAGGTCTGCTCCCCACTGGCAAGTGGACATCTCCCGAGGACTGCCAGGCTGCCAGAGGGATGTCTGATTGCTATCTTAGGCCCAATCCCTCGGGGAGCAGGCCTAAGCCAGCAGGTGGTCATCCCCCAAGGGATCCCAGACTGCGAGAGGGCACAGGCCAGGCTGAGGGAACTGCATCCCCCCCCCCCCCCCCCAGTGCACAAATTTTTGTGCAACGGGCCTCTAGTGTAAAATAAATATCAAAAATATAAGTCTTTCTTTTACTGTGGTTGCAAATATCAAAAAATTTCTATATGTGACACGGCACCAGAGTTAAGTCAGGGTTTTTCAAAATGCTGACATGCCAAGCTCAAAAGGTTCGCCATCACTGGTATAGATAATGACCAACCTGAGTGTTTAGGCTGATGCCCTATCGCACTGTGGTGCAGATTGCAGAATCTTAACTCTGCCACATCCTACCTATGTAGTATCAGGCAAGGCTCTTTGTGTCTCATTTTCATTGCCCATAAAATAGGGATATTACCTACTTTACCAGTATAAGGGTTGCTGGAATGACTGAGTTTATAAATATAAAGTGCATGGAATAGATGGGTGCCCGGACTGTTGTAAACAATAGTTATTTTAATATCTGCACCCTAAATAATGGGGCGGAAAAATCAAATACACCACCTTTTAAGAAATTTCCAAATGAGGATGAGAAAAAACTTTGAAGGACTTGGTACACTGAAAAACAATTTATTAAAATTTTAAAAAGAGGTAGTAGTGCAAGATGATGAAAATCACTTTTGAAGATTCTGAAATAATGGGTAGTTTCATCAATTTTAAGACCTGCACTTAAGGCAAATGAAATTCCATTATTGTAAATAGCCTCTTTCAACTAAAATATGTGTCTGAAATACGTGTAGACTAATTCACCACAGAAATATTCAATATAACTGCAATAATCTTAAATATCTATAAAACAAGTATACTTTTAAAACAAACGACTGACTTCATCAATCTCAAAACAGAACAAATTATAGCCACATACATTAATTTAAAAAGGTTTTAGGAATATCTTACTCAAGTATGGAAAACATTTACCTTTACAATGAGCATATGGCATTGTCATTACATAATCTTCACCTCTATTCAAAAAAGTTAATCGTGCTTCTCCATCTAATATTGCAGATAATGAGTTTCCTGAAATAAATAACGTTTATTAAATTTCACAAAACTAATTTCACCAATTCAAAACAGATGAAATATATTTAAGACACCTACCAGACACCTACAATGGAATGTTTTAAAAATAAAAATGTCTCACAATCTCAATGTGTCCAAACACATGTTATACCTGAAATATATTTGATCTATATTTTCATTTTTATGAAAAGCGCTTGTTAATTTATATGAGACTTTTAAGAAAAATTTTAAAGATGTAGAACATGCAAAAAACACTATTTCACTGTATAGCTTAATTTGCCCAATTTTTATTTTTATTTTATTTTTATTTTATTTTATTATTTTATTTTTTTTTGCCCAATTTTTAATAAAAACATTATTTCTTCTGTAAGTCATATTACTTAAGTCCCAAGCTTTAAGTTCTTTTGACATAAAAATGTCAGAGCCTGGCAAGTGTGGCTCAGTAGTTTTGGGCTCAGTCCTTAGTAGGAGGCTTGCAGGTGGCATCTGATCAATGATTCTCTCTCATCATTGATGTTTCTCTCTCTCTCTCCCCCTCCTTCCCTCTCTGAAATCAATTAAAAAATATTTTTGAAAAATGCTATAGATATTAAAAAAAAATAAAAATATACATAACCCATAATCCATTCAATCAATGATAAAATCTCAGGATATTTTCTTCTAGCTTTTATCCCATATGTATTTTTCTTTTCCCCCCATCATCAGTTTTATTGAAGTATAACAGGGGTCCTCAAACTACGACCCACGGGCCAGATGCAAATACAAATATTGTATTTGTTCCCGTTTTGTTTTTTTACTTCAAAATAAGATATGTGCAGTATGCACAGGAATTTGTTCATAGTTTTTTTTTAAACTATAGTCCGGCCCTCCAATGGTCTGAGGGACAGTGAACTGGCCCCGTTTAAAAAGTTTGAGGACCCCTGAAGTATAACAATCCTATATAATAAAAGGCTAATATGCAAATCAACTGAACGGCATAATGACCGGTCACCATGACACACATTGACCACCACGGGGCAGACGCTCAACGCAGGAGCTGCCTCCTAGTGGTCAGTGCACTCCATCAGGGGGAGAGCTGCTCAGCCAGAACTGGGCTCATGGCTGGCGAGTGCGGTGGCAGTGGTGGAAGCCTCTCCCACCTCTGCAGCAGTGCTAAGAATGTCCGACTGATGTCTTCGGCCCGCTCCCCACTTAATATTGGGGAGCGGGCCTAAGTTGTCAGTTGGACATCTCCCAAGGGCTCCCGAACTGCAAGAGGGCACAGGCCGGGCTAAGAGAACCCCCAGAGTGCACGTTTTTCATGCACCGGGCCTCTACTTTAGATATAATAAGTGACCCATTTTAAGTATTTATTTTGATAGTCTTGGCAATTGTATACAGTCATGTAATTACCTAAACCACAATCAAGATACAGAATTTCCCATACCCCAAAAAGACTTCCCCTTGCACCTTGGCAGTCAATGCTTTCCTCCAGCCCCAGGAAACCGCAGGTCTGGTTCCTGTCACTGTAGTTTTACTTATTCTAGAGTTTTGTATGGATGGCACCATAAAATATGTAGTTTATTGTGTTTGACTTCTTTCACTTATCAAACTGGTTTTTTACATTCATCCATGTTTCTGTTTCAACATTTCAGGCCATTTTAACAATATCAAAAAAATCTAATACATGAACATAGTGTATCTCTCCAGTTACTTAAGTCTTCTTTAATTTTCTTCAGCAATATTTTGTAGTTTCAGTGTGCAGGTATCTTTCATTAAATTTATATCTTTCATTAAATTTATTCCTAAATATTCTATTTTTCACATACTGTTGTAATCAAAGTTTTTTTTTAAAGTTACATTCTGCAAGTGTTCATTTTGTACAATTTATTTTTGTATTTTGACCTTGTATCCTGCAACCTTATTAAATTTACTTAATAGTTTTAGTAGTTTTTGATATATTCTTAAGGATTTTTTATATAGATCAGGTATGTATATATTTTAACTTCTACCTTTCTAATCTGTATGCTTTTTACTTGCCTACTGCACTGGCTAACACCTTAAATGTAATTTAATACAGAAGTAGTAAGCGTGAACATCTTTACCTTGCTCCTAATTTTAAGTCAAAATTATTCAATATCCACCTTAGGAGTATAAAGTTGGCTATATATTTTTCATAAATACCTTTAATCTAGTCCTAATTTGTCAACAGCCTTTATTGTAAATGGGTAGTGAATTCTGTAAAATGCTTTTCCTTTATTCTATTAATATGAATTATATTGATTTTCATATAACACACCAACCTTGTATTCCTGAGATAAACTTCAATTGATGACGACATATTATCCTTTTAATATATTGATCATGATACAGATCCTTTTTATATATCCTTTTATATGTGTTTAAATATTATCCTTTATAATACTGACTTATTACTAATTTGTTAGGGATTTTTACAAGTATATTAAAGAGATATTGATTTATAGTTTTCTTATAATGCTGGTTTTGGGGGGTGAGAATAGTGCTGGCCTTATAAAATAAGTTGAGAAGTGTATCCTCCTCTCCTATTTTCTGTAAGAAGTTGGATAAAATTGGTATTTTTCTTCCTTAAATATTTAAAAGAAATCAAGACATTTGGGCCCAGAGTACATCTTCAAAGGAAGTTTTTAAATCACTAATTGAATTTTTTACATTGATTTAAGACTATTATACTTTTACATTTATTCTTGGGTCAGTTTTGGTAACTTGTGTTTTTTAAGAGATTTGCCCATGTCAATCTAAGCAGTCAAATTTATCAGTATAAAATTGTCCATAATATCTCCTTATCATCACTTCAGGGTGTGTAGGATCAACAATAATTCTGCTCATTTATTTCTGCTCTTTACTCTCTGTTTATAATCAGTCTAAAACCAACTCTTGTTTGATTTGTGTATTGTTCTTCTACTTTCTACACCGATGTCTACTCTTTATTATTTCCGTTCTTCTACTTACTTTAAATTCAATTAGCTCTTTTTCTAATTTCCTAGAGTAAAAACTCAGATCACTGATTTAGATCTTTCTCCTTTTTCAATTTAAAATTAAAAATTTCCCTCTAAGCACTGCTTTTGCTACATCATACAAATTTTAATGTTATATTTTCATTACCATTTAGTTTAAAATATATAATAATTTCTCTTGTGACTTCTTCTTTGACCCATGAATTTAGAAGTATGTTACTGAATTTCAAAATATTTGTAATTTAGCTTGATATCATTAATTTCTAATTCTATTTAATTCAAGTTACAGAACATACTCTGTATAATTTTCAGCCTTTTGAAATTTATGGAGAGTTGTTTTATGGTCAAACACGTGGTCTAGACCAGTGACAACACCATACATATACTTGAAAATAATGGGTATGCTGTAGCTGTTGATTGTGATGTTTTAGAAATATTAATTATGGTAAGGTGGTTGATAGTGTTCTTCGTGGTCATAAGCCATTTACCCTAAAGTCAAAGTAGGAGTGTAGATGGAAGAAAGGTGCAATGGGGAGGGAATTACAAATATATGTAACCTTCAGAAGAAAACAATCACCATCTGAAACAAGCATAACATAAAAGTAGGCAAAAAACAAAACCCAAATAAAACTAACATTAAGGGAAATAAAAAAAATATCTTGAAGAACATCATGTTCCTGGACCAAAAACTACTATTAGATTTCCGTGTCACAGACTTATCTATGGTTCTCCACCTACTCAAATAACCAAAGATTAGATTTCTGTTGACATATTTGATCTTTCCTATTTTACCATAATTATTTTTTCTTTGAAGTTTAAAATTTCCCAGTTGAAATTTAATTCGTTGATTTTTCTCCATTTAAAAAAACAAATAAAAGCTTTTAAGGTTATATTTTCTACTAGTACATAGCTATGGCCATGATTTGTTTGTTTAGATAGTTACAGTTATTAGATTAAGGTTTCTTATTACAACTAAATTTCTTTTCCCCCTTGTACTTAACAAAAGCTTTTCTGGTATGTTTTTGGGACCAAGGTTAAATGTTGTTACTAATGATGCTGAACCAAGTATTCTAATTGTACTTGGATTCTTTCTCTCTCTAGTCAAAGACTAAAATAGCCCTGGCCGGTTTGGCTCAGTGGATAGAGCGTCAGCCTGCAGACTCAAGGGTCCTAGGTTTGATTCCAGTCAAGGGCATGTACCTTGGTTGCGGGCACATCCCCAGTGAGGAGTGTGCAGGAGGCGGCTGATCGATGTTTCTCCCTCATCCATGTTTCTGACTCTCTATCCCTCTCCCTTCCTTTCTGTAAAAAAATCAATAAAATATATTTTAAAAAAGAAAGACTAAAATAAAAAAAATGAACCCCTTGGGTACATTAAGATGGAACAAAAACCTTAGTAAGGGCTAAAGGCAAAAGAAATACATTATGCACTAAAAGGGCTACCATAGAGGGCAATCATTATTCAGTTTTTTTAATAACTGGTGTTTGGGATAAATTTTTTAATAAGTGGTGTTTGGGATAAATTTATACATATGGAATATATATATATATATATATATATAGATAAATATAGATATATATATATATATAAAATGAGGCAGATATCAATTTGTGAATGGACAAAAAAATCACTATAAAAGTCATTATTCAAGTAAAAATGACACTTAAAATAACATAAAAATTCCTTACTGAAAACATATCAAGACACCATCTAAATAAAAGCTCACTAAAACATACTACCTCCCAGAAAAGGGTGCCTACTGAGCCAAGAGGAAACTCACCATAGAACTTGGACTTAGCCAGGATACTACCACTAATGCAAAATCCGTCCTTTCGGTTACTAACATAAAAGGCAGATATTGGTGGGTGATGGGACACCTATTGAACACAGGAAAAAACACAGAATTTATTAAGAATATTATTGTGCTAATATCAAAAAGTTAAGTTTTAAAAGTATGCTCTATTAATAAAGAAGAAAGATTTGGTAAGTAGTAAAATTAAATATTGATTATAGTAATCAGCCTCTACGATGTCTCCCAAGGAATCTCACCTCCCAGTATGCATACCATTAGGTGGGCTCCTCTTACACTATACCAAAGTTGGTTTATGTGAAGTGATAGGATGCCACTTCTGAAATTAAGTTATAATGTGTGTGTCTCTCAGATAATCAGCTCTAAAAAGCCAGCTTGCATATTGTGAACAAACCAATGGAGAGGGCCCATATTGTGAGGAACTAAGTCCTATTGTCAAAAGCTATGTGATGAATTTGAAAGTAGAAACTTCTATCCCACTTAAACCTTCCGAGGACTACAAAGCTGGATGACATATTAACTACAACCTCTGAAGACCCTGAGCCAAAACCACCCAGCTGAGCTCCAGATTCCTGAACCTCATTGTATGATATAATAAATGTTGTTTAAGCCATTAAGTTTTGGCAGTAATTTGTTATACAAAAATGGATAACTAACCAGTGGCAATTCTTCATATAAATTATGAATAGCTATAGAAAACTAACAAAAACTTTGACAAATCTATTATTTTAATAATCTAGTATTTTAATATATATATACACATCCTATGCTTTGTCTCTGAAATGAGACAAAGCTAAAGTCAATTAAACTCTTCTCATGCTTCTCAATTTAGAGAAGAATTATATTGAACTAAAATGTAAGGTATTCTAATCGTTAATTTAAAAAATTAATACAGATATGTGGTTTCAATCTGAGGAGTATATTAAAATTTCTAGGGAAGAGGAAAGTTTTTCAAATGCCACATGGTCTCCTCATCCTCCTTACAATACAGGTGAGAATTATGATAATAAGGATGCCATTATAGTATCACATTCGTCAGGTTTGTTAGGACGGTTTGTTGTCATGTAGATTAACAATCATGAATACAGGTGTACATAAATTTAAATTAATCAAAGATTAAAACTAAGAAGTATTCTGACTGCCTACTATGTGTACAATAAAAAGAGATGTATTATGGGGAGGGTATACGTTTAAGGAGCTAACAATTCAATTTGGGAAATAAATATTTTATAAAAAGTGTTAAAATAACAGCTTAATGGATAATCACAAAAAATAATACAGAAGTCTGAGGAGAGAAATCACTGGGAGCTGTAATCATTTGGACCAAGAAAGATGAGCAGGTCAAAGTTTATTTAGATGAAGTACACAGAGAAGAAATATTGGGATAGAAGAATTAAATTTAAAACTACTAAGGCAAAAAAAATGTGTAATATCAGGTTACCTAATTCTGAATGTACAAGTTTGACTACTTTGAAAGAGCTCAGAAAAGCATGTAATTTGAGGTAAATTTAAAAAATATGGAGGACCTTAAATGCCACACAAATGGTATAAATTTGATTTAGGAACTGGGGAAATAGGGAAGAATTCTGATAAAGGGATGGGAGGCAGGAAAAAAGTTATTTTTGTCAAAGGATTCTATGGCTGAAATAGTAATAATTTTGAGTATGGTATTTAGTAATACTCAGTACTAAAAGGTAAAATGCTTACCTTATGTTCATTAACAATGGTTAACCAACAGTGAATTTACTAAATTAATATTTCCAATAACTTCAGAATTAGTTTTGTTTCTTAAGACACATTTCTTTTTATTTTTTCATCCTCACTTGAGGATATTTTTCCTTTTTTTTTTTTTTTTTTTTTTTAAGAGAGAGAGAAATATCAATGTGAGAGAAACACATCGATTGGCTGCCTCCTGCATATGCCATGACCTGGGCCTGGGCCAGGAGGAGCCTGCAACTAAGGTATGTGCTCTTGCCTGGAATCGAACCCAGGACCCTTCGGTCCACAGGCCGACGCTCTAGCCACTGAACCAAACCAGCTAGCTTAAGACACATTTCTAATACCTGTTCAGCAATATAAAAAGTTTTGCTGTTTGTTCTGGGGTGAATCCACAGACAACGGAAAGTCTCACCAAGTATAGGATTATAAGGTTTCTTCAGTCCCTAGGAAAAAAACATCCAAATTTAAATTATAAATACGGAAGATTCAAAATAGTTCAAACCAGTCAAGATTTGTTTAACTGTATTATGTAGGAGCTATCCTTATAAAATTTCACAGTAGGGACATGAAATAAAGTTAAACGACTTCACTCACAATACAGGACTAAGTATTTTGCAATTTTGCTAACTCAAGGCCTTGCAATATAATTATTAATAAATAATCTAAAGATAACAAAAAAATAAAGAACTCACATAAGGCTGAAAAAGGTAAGATATAAACATTACCTTTGGCTTTTTATAGAATCCTGACAAATACCATTTCACTACTTTCTTCAAACGGAAATAAGGATTTTCTTCAAGAGCAGCCCTAATATCAAAATGGTAAACACAAAAATTTTACAGACTATATCACAAATTCTCCCTCATAGTTATTAAGTCAACAACTGAATATAATATATGATTGAAAAGCATAATTCATATTTAAAATAGATATCAAAAATAACCATGTACATTAGTTTGTAAGAACCAGTTTTTATAACCTGGTTACTTTTCTTCCCATTTATCCTATTCTTTAACATGCTACCCAGGTCTTAGCTCAATTTGTTTCTGAAAACTCTCCAAACCAAGATTTCTCAACTGGGGTTTTGCAGAACCCTTTATGTTGCTAGAGGTTCTGTAATTGTGATTATGAAAAATAAACACAGATTTTGCCATAGCCGGTTTGGCTCGGTGGATAGAGTGTCGGCCTGCGGACTCAAGGGTCCCAGGTTCAATTCTGGTCAAGGGCATGTACCTTGGTTGCAGGCCCATCCCCAGTAGGGAGCATGCAGGAGGCAGCTGATCAATGTTTCTCTCTCATCAATGTTGCTAACTCTCTATCCCTCTCCTTTCCTCTCTGTAAAAATTCAATAAAATATATTTTTAAAAAAATAAAAATAGATTTTGAGATTTGGGCACTGTTTGATACCTAGCATTTGCAATAATGAAACAATGGCCAAGCAACCTCATTAACAACTTCGTATGAGGTCTCCAGTCCCATATGTCAGAGAAGGACCATGTCCACTTGGGGGTTTACTCTATTTTCAGTTGTTGACGTTAATTAGGGGAGATCAACGGTAACTGGTGGGGGCTGTAGTACATGAAGGGAGGACAACAGGCTAATGTTAGCCTCTCCCGCACAGCCTCCCTAAGTATAGGATTATATGCCTTTTTAATCCCTTGTACACTGAAGTTTCAAATCACAAAGATATAAGATTTAAAATAATTTAAACTAATAAAAAAAGGTTTTTAATCCACGTTTAGCCTTCAACCTTCCCTATGTGCTATCAACTGATTTTGCAGAGTGAACAAACTCTACCAATATAACAGGTAATCAAAAAAGAATTTTTATTTTAAAGAAAAAATTTTTAGAAGTCCCCACTCAGCTACTCCCTTGCCTTATTGTTGATGCAAAAACATTGATTGTGTAAGTCAGAAGTGAATTCTACTGTGAAGTTAGTGCATTGGTTTTCTTCCCCCCCCCCCCTCTCTCTCTAATGATTTAACTATTTTTTATACTCTTTAAGCATGTCTGAAGATCCAGTGTGCTGATCTTCAGATGAAAGAGGCTAGAGCAGTGGTTCTCAACCTTCTGGCCCTTTAAATACAGTTCCTCATGTTGTGACCCAACCATAAAATTATTTTCGTTGCTACTTCATAACTGTAATGTTGCTACTGTTATGAATCATAATGTAAATATCTGATCTGCAGGATGGTCTTAGGCGACCCCTGTGAAAGGGTCGTTCGACCGCCAAAGGGGTCTCGACCCACAGGTTGAGAACCGCTGGCAGGGGAAAAAAGCAAAGACAAAAGTGGTGATTTACACCAAGAGCCAACAACTGGTGGGGCATTCTAGATCTGGAAAGCTACACATGTCTTAAAGGCACGCAGAGAGGATAGGTATAAACAAAAGCACAAGCCACAGGGTGGGACCTGAACAGGGTTGAAGTGGGGAGAACAAAGAATGCCAACCACCTCTCCCTGTGTTAGGTCAGCAAAAGGTCAGGGAGCCTGTGACAATAGTGCTGTCGGATGAGGGTAAAATTCTTGTCCTCCTAAAGCTCGTGATCTCTCAACTCAACTGAAAACAGCATACCAAAGAATTAAACATGTTTCTTATTTCTTAAGGTCAACTACAGAAGTGGTGAAGAAGAGAGTGATTATCTCACTACAGACTAATTTTGGTAAGGCATGACCACTGAATAGCAATCTGGGAAATCTCTAAGAAATAAGAATTTACTTACTCAGACAGAAAATCTGCATGATAGTAATAATCTGAAAGTTTATCCAGGAAAGAACGAGGTTCCAAAATAAATGTAGGCAGAACCACCCTGGACAGGTCCATACCAGGACGGACTTGTTTCAGCAATGTCCAGATAAGGCTTTTGTTTTCTTCAGACACAGTTTCTGTTTGTGAAGCCTCACCTGCCTTTAGCAATTAACAAAAAATATTGAAATATTATATTTATTTCAGACACATATATGTGTAGAAAAGACACCTAATGTTGAAAACCAGAACTCTCTATCTGACCATTCCAAGCATTCTTAAAATGTGAAAACAACCCATTAAATAATAAAGTAGCCGGAACCGGTTTGGCTCAGTGGATAGAGCGTCGGCCTGCGGACTGAAAGGTCCCAGGTTCGATTCCGGTCAAGGGCATGTATACCTGGGTTGCAGGCACATCCCCAATAGGAGATGTGCAGGAGGCAGCTGATCGATGTTTCTCTCTCATCGATGTTTCTAACTCTCTCTATCTCTCTCCCTTCCTCTCTGTAAAAAATCAATAAAATATTTTTAAAATAATAATAATAATAATAAAGTCTATAGCTATAAAATTTAGGTAAAAAGGGTATTTGCAAAAGATATCAAAGTAAATGATTTAAAGACTCTATTACAAAAACATTATACTCTATTATAATAAAGCTACCTCTGTGCACTTGCAATAAACAACAAAGTTATAAACTCAAGTTTCCTGCATTTTACTTGTACCTGGCAATGCAATGACATCTAGCAGCATCCTATATCAAAAGCAAGCCTGAAGAAAATGTAAACTGTAAATTTACTAGAATATATTCATATTTGCGTATTACATGTTTTTAGTTGTTTATAAATCCTGATATATTTCATATGTATACAACTAAAATAAAGTAGGTATAAAATATTCTTTTGGGAAAATAAGCAATAGGTCAAACTAATAATATATTCAATTTCTTTAGAATTAGAAAACCCAAATCTCTGAAAATCACAGACTTCTACCTCTCCGAGTTCCTCATGGCTCTGTTCAGTGTAGGTGGTCTCCTTTAGAGGCTCGATAGGCTCAGGTTCGATGTATGAGTCATCTTGCCTCTCTGATGTATCTGTGTCACTGTCTTCACTTTTCCCCATCACCTCATTGTCAGACTCATCATGCTCTTGATCATTTTCTTTATCGGATTTATCAGAATACATATCTTGGTCCTTAAAATGCTGTCGTTCAATTTCACTATCATTTAACCTTAAGGAAAAGAATTATTAGAAGGAAGAATAAAAGAGGTTAAGAATATTTAATTTATAAATAAGAATGATATGTAACATTTACGGAGAATTTATTATGTGTCGGCACCATTCTTAATATTTTAAATAGTTTTACTCATTTAATCTTCAAAATAACCATATGAGATTAGTAAATGGCACAGAGAAGTTAAGGAAAAATCTGGGAAATGTTCAAAATGACACTGAACTCTTTGCCTCTCTACCAGCTGGGGCTAAAATTGTCCAAAAGCAAAATTTTAGACAATCTGTTGCTGGCTTTTTTTCTTAGTTTTGTAGTCATCGTCACTTGAGTCACTTGTGGTCTGAAGGAAAACTTCAAGTTAAGATCATCAGACAGATTATCAAGTGAACTCAAATGAAGTATGACTTTCCACCTGTAAAGGTTGCCAAAGTCACTCAAAAGAAGTATAAGACAAGAAAATGTAAAAGGTAATAATTATAGCTACTTAATACTTAACTGATAAGATAATCGAGAAAAAAGTTCAAGGAAAATTGGAAATGAAAATATTAGTTTAAGGAAATAAACCTGTAACCTAAAATTGATATACTGCTATAACCAATCCTGTTTATCCTAACCCCAAAGTGATTAGGGTCAATAATCTATACAAAAAGAGAATTAAAAAACCTTACTTCCAGAATAATTTTTTTTTTTTTTTTTTAGAAACTTCTTATTTAGGAAAGTATCTGTGGGTTTCGTTTAGCATAAAAATCTTATAGGGATGAACACTTAAGTACTACTTTAAAAATGAATACACGATGCCATTATATACCATTGATATTTTAGCAATGCTGAGATAATAACAGAGGAGAGAAGTCCTATTTGATTCCTATGTTAGTGTCCATTTTTCCAAAATCTTCATTTGTTTGGATTTTAACCAGATAATTTTTACATGCATATTACTTTCTTTCTTTCCCTTTTAAAAAGTAGTCTAAAATTGCTCTCCTTAACCTCTCACAATCTGGTCTTCACTCCCCTAAATCAAGTGACTCTGTTCCCTCAAAAGTCACTAATGATGGCTTAGTTGACAAACCCAATGGCCTTATCTAATCTTTACCTCCTTTGACTTCTCTGCATTACTGAGCCTAGATGATAATTATTTTCCTTGAAATAGTCTTAAATGCGTGGGTTCCATGTAATTGTAGTTCTACTTTTTAAGCTCTCTGATCCCTCTTATTCCTTCTACCCTTAAATATTTTCATCTTCCTTGGCCTTTTTTTATTTTCTCTATTCTCTCTCCTTTGGCAAGCTACCAAATTTCTATTTGATTTCCAAACCCATGTATGCAGGAATAAGCTTTAGACCCATGTTTTTAAATGCTTGGCTGACATCATCTATGTCTAGGGACTGCTGCATCTTCAACATATATAATATTTAATAAATTATTATCTCCCAAACATGGTCTTTTGTTTTATTTTACCATCATCTTCCCTATCACTCAGGCATAAAGCTTGGTAATTTTTAACTTCACCAACTCCCTGTCCCTTATATCCAAGCAGATTCTCACCCCTCATCTCTGCATCATAGCTCACAGCTCATTTTCTGCCATCCAGCCAAAATGAACATGTTGATATGTTGATTCTACTTTTGCAAAAATCTGTTACATTGATCCTCTCCCTCATTCCCTAGAAGGATGTTATGTCTTCATCCTATAAATTCTCTTGATCTTGTATTACCCTAAAGCATGTCTCCTTTGGTTGCTTATGTTATTCTTTTCTTTCTACTATTTATTGCTGCCTGGCATTTTATAGGTTTCAAATACAACAAAACATCTCTTCAGGATCACATAGCTAATAAACTGTTACACTGGATTCAAATTTAAGATCATATCAGATTCATCTCCCTATTCAAAATTACACAGAAAACTGTACAGTATCTTATACAGAAAACAGGCTCCAAATTTTTAATGAATAAATATGTGAAGCAAATGAATTGTTAAGATCCCCAAATAAGAGCATTTAGAGATTACCTGGTATTCAACAAAAACAATGTATGTTTTACAGCTGAAGAGCTTCAACGAAAACATTTCAGGAAGAGGCCCCAAAAACATCCATTCCTATATAAATTGTGCTCCCACCCCCCAATCTTTTCCCATTCAGGCTTTTGTTCTGAGGATTAAGATAAAACTCGAGATTATAATTCTGCAAAGAAAGGATGTAAAAGGTCAGGTAGTGGAAATTTTCAAAGAGAGTGAAGAAAAGAGTCAAGCAAAAGGATAAGAGAAAACAAAAGTTCAGCTCAGGTTACACGGAGGGGAATAGCAGTCTAACACCTTTCAGGAGAGTAATCCAATGCCCATAGCCATAAGTAGCTGTAGGGCAGAAATTGAGCATTGGAGCAAGGGAAGAAAAGGGGAAGTCTAATGTTTTTCCTACAAAGCAACAAAATAAATCTGAACCTCAACAAACCTCAGAACCTCAAGGAAAGTATTGTGTTTCCCTGAAGAAAAGTTTTTTAAAATTAACTACTATAAATGCTTCAGGTGGTAAAACCAAAATAAGACACAGTTCCAACTCAAAGCACAATATCATAGGAAGATTCCATAAATACCAGAAAGGATTAAGTCAAATACCATTACAAAAAAAAAAAAATAAGTCAAGTGCCATTACAGAACAGCAATAGAAGGCCAGATATTTCATGGTTAGGAGGCATGAAAGTTTTTGCATATAACATTTGAATCGGTCTTAAAGAATTCATAGTCCTATGACAAGAGAAAAGAGCAAGGTAGACTTTCACATATGATACAATATTTGAGGTCAGTCTTGAAGAATACATAGTCTTTTGATGGGAGAAAAGAACAAGGTGGACTAGAACTCATTCTTAATGAAGGGAACACCATACACAAAGACAAGGTAGACAACAGCATGGGTGCATTTGGAAAATAACAAGTAATTCACATTAGCTAGGATCATGGAAATAACTTTCTATACCTCATCATAGTAACTAAACAAATCTTAAACCAGGCCTTAAGTCATATAATCAGAAGAAGACAGCCAAATTTCAATCCTACATACACTACAAAAATTCTAGGCCTGCCAATTAACCTAGTGAACAACATGGTCTCCAAATTACCAAATTAGGGGCAATATCTACTTACTGGAAGTTGTCACCACTGTGAAGATTGTTAGCACGTAATAAGCCATACAAAGTCACATGTGTGCTCTCTGATGAAATGCTCAGGTCATGTTCCTTCCCTTCCCTGATCATTGTACGTTTAAGAAGACTAGAACATTTCAAAGCCAACTCCAAAGCATCCATCCAGCACCTTCCTAGAAGAACACAGATTCATAAGCAGTATAATTCGAGAAACTACACAAACTGGCATCCATCTTAATGTAACACTGTTACCCTTTAGGCATACTATCATTTCTCTGAGAAACATGCACCAGAAAAGTTACTTTGAACATCAAGTCTTACAAGGATTTTTAAATGTGATTTTTCAGTTTATCAAGGGGTTTTTTACATCTTAAGTATCCAGAAACCACTGGTAAATGAATAGAATATAGCACACATTGGTAAGTATACCTAGTGAAAATACATGTATTTTATTTTTTAAATTTTAGAACAGTAACATATAGTATAATTTGAAGGTACCAAAAAGGTATATAAAATATACTGAAGGGGTTATGTTTTACTATAAACAAACTAAAAAATGTTTTGTTGGTAGTGGGTCTATTCCCAGGTTTAGCATCCATTTTACTCATATGCATAAAAAATTTTAAGTCAGGGAAATGCCTGTACAATACTGTTATTAACTGCCATATTAGTAGAAACATTATTAACTTTATTTTTTAAATTGAAATTTAGAACTGTAATTAGCAGAAAAAAATGTTACCTTCACTTAAAATCCACATATATTTGTTTCAGCATTTGCTGGAATTATCAGCCAAATAAAACACTTTTATAACAAATACTTGTGCCTATGATAATTTAATTTTAAAAATAATCATCTGGTAAAAGTAAACTCTGGAAGGTTACAGGATTCCTTAGGCTAAGCTAGCCTAAACTATAAAATATAAAAGTGTGACAGAAATCCATTATCAATTAGTAAAGTTTTAAAGTTACCTTGATTTCAAATAAATAAGTTTTGCTTTCCCTGTATTTGCTTCAGGAATTATGTATTAAGTTAATAAGTGCAGAATAACAGTTTATAATTAAATGTCTATATTTAAAAAAATTATAACAGTGTGTCTTAAAAATATTAATACTTAGTGATAGAAAATAATATTAAATGTACCTCTAAAATGATAAAACTTAACGAGTTACCACGGGGAACATTAAACAAATCAAGAAGGTGTTAACATGTCAGTGAAGGATAAAGAAGAAAACTCAAGGCTGTTAATTCATCATTTAATTATCTAATGCCTCCTTCCTATCAGATTCCTCTGTTTTCTACCAAGTTAATGATATATTTAATGTTCTAAGCAATTGATGATTACAATACTTCTGCTGCAAATACCATACTAAAGACAGATTTTCCCAAAGGGAAAATACACAGTGGAATATAAATAAACCTTTTAAAATGAGGCCAAAATCCAATCTATCAAAACTTGTATTTACCATCTGACTCTGAAGTAGCTCGGATGATCAAGTAACTGCTAGGTAAAGGCTGAGTTATGGATCCAACTGCTTCACCTTTTGGACCCTTAAAATAAACAAATAAAATAAAAATAAGCAAAATAAATGGCATACAGTATTGTAATATCTTGACTTTTACTACCTATTATTATCGATAACAATCTAAGTTAGCCATAGATTATAATTTAAAAGAAAACAAGATTTAATTTCATGCTTCTTGAGAAAGCAAATGTTGAGTTTAAGGAAAGTTTTCCTTTCCCAACAAATATACCTCCTTACCAAAAAATTGAACAACTTATATTTATCATTAGTTAAACATTATTTCTGTACATTGTTCACACATTAAAAGAAAATCTAAAATTCACCATACTATACAAAATTTTAATTTAACAGAGAATTTCCATCTCGCATATACTATTAGAAAAAATACTTAACTTCTAGAACCTATAAAGAAACAGCTGGAAAGCCGAACTGGTTTGGCTCAGTGGATAGAGCATCGGCCTGTGGACTCAGGGGTCCCAGGTTCGTTTCTGGTCAAGGGCATGTGCCTTGGTTGCGGACACATCCCCACTGGGGGGCGTGCAGGAGGCAGCTGATCGATCTCTCTCATCGATGTTTCTGGCTCTCTGTCCCTCTCCCTTCTTCTCTGTAAAAAATCAATAAAATACATATTTTTTAAAAAAAAAAAAAAGAAAGAAAAGAAACAGCTGGAAAGAAAAAAAGAAACAGCTGGAAATATAGCTATTATTTATAAGCAAAAGAAAAAAAGAATTTTTACTAGGTCTAGGGAAAAAATAAAGCTCCATTTATAAGCAGGAATATACTTGTTTATAAATACCAACTATAAAAGCTAATTTTAAAGAGATTTTATTACTGTTGTTGGCTGGGACTGTTTTAGAAGTATACAACACCAAGAGCTCTGTAGTAATTATTATCATCAAGGCTAATCTTAGGAGGATATAGTTCTTATTTGGAAAGAAAAATCTGAGGATTCAATTTATAGTATAATTTTGATTGAAAAGCATAATTTTCAAGTTCTCAGATCAAGGAATAAAATGAACTTTAAAAAGTATAATCATTAGAAAGTAAAGATTCAGAGTCAAAATTTAAAAATAGAAAAATCAATATGATTTTAACAAATCTTCTAAAATCCCTTGGGTATTTTCAAATAGCTTTATAATTTATGGGACAGTTCCTAGAACCAATATAGAGTAGTAACTAGAGTCAGGCTGTCTGGGTTTCAACTTTGGTTCAATGCTAGAAAAATTATTCTTTAGGCCTCAATCTCTTTGTCTGGTTAATAAGAGAAAACTGTATTCTTCCTAAAGTTATGAGAATTAAAAAAAATATTCCATGTAGAATGCTCAAAAGAATCCCTGACACATAGTTAAGAACTCATAAACATTATTTTTCCCTAATCATAGACACTGACTTTAAAAGTGTTTAAACAATGTCCTAAGTAGGTTTTGCTTGTTGAGAATATTCTGATGCTCATGTAATTGTACAAACTTCCCTCTCACAGATAGTTGGAATGAATAAACTTGATATCAAAATTTATTTTTTATTATTTCTTAAATTTTTTATTTATTGGTTTTAGAGAGGAAGGGTCAGGGAGAGAAACATTGATGTGTTGCTCCATGTATTTATGCATTCATGGGTTGCTTCTTAAGTGTCCTGACTGGAGAATGAACCCACAACCTTGGTGTATTGGGACGATGCTCTAACCAACTGAGCTACCTGGCCAGGGCTAAAAGTATTTTTAATGACTTAAAATTCATTATAATTCTTACAATTCCTAAGAGTAATAGTAAAGAATAAATTCTATATATAAAAGGTTTTGAAAGGAATTTTTTCATTTGAGTATCATATGATATATAAATACCACAGGCTGTATGGGTTAAATTCTTTCCCCTGTGGGCAGTATCTAATTCCAGAATGGAACTAACTCTGTAATCCTAAATTTATTCTTCTCTCTAGGCTACTGAAACAAAGGTAAGAAGGCCAGTTTTTTTCCTAGGTATATGTATATTGCCCAATTAAGCAATACCAAAAATATTTAAAAGCCAAAGCTACTTTTACTTAGTGCTAATCTCAATTATGTGGTTTTCCTTAAAGGAGTTCTAAATCCTTTATTCAAGCATAACTGGCCTTCTTAAAATAATAGTGGCTTTGTAAAAACTTAAACTAGGCTCAGACACATTTATTCTGTTAGCGTGTACTGAACATCTGCTGTAGAATTTCTTGGTAGTTAATCAAAATAAGGCTTTTCTATTTTCCTGATTAAGTTTCTGCTATTATAACACAGGAATGACCACAGTAATGTTTTTTAGTTATAAAGCATTAGAGTTCCATCTTCAAAGAACGTTGCCTCTCAAGAGTAAGAAAGACTGTGATTACTTATACTTCCCACATATTTATATTACTACAGAAAAAACTTAAAAAAATAAATGGCAGCTTCTGTTCGATGGTATCTTACAATTTTGACGAACAGAAAAACACAGTAAATATGATACAACATTACAAAGCAGAATTATTAATTGCAAATTTTAAAAATCAGTACAAACTGAATCCCCATAGCAAAGAGATAACAAACAATGTAAGTTAAAAACATTTTTCTGGAGAAATGTTTAAGTTAGATCTTAAAGGTAAACAAGAACATTTGGTGCAAATTTCATTGTGGGTAGGGAGAGAGGAATAATACCCTTAAAAACAGAAATAAATTTATAAGTGCTGGCACAGAATAGCAACCATTAGATTGATTTGTCTCAGTTCTACTCACAGATTACCATCTTTACTTTTTACCTATATAACAAGTACTTACCTTCACTGCCCAAATAGATTGCTCCAAAGGATGAAAAAGTTTGAAACAAAAGCCATCCTTTTTTGATGGGCGCTCAATGATTTCACAAGCATTCAGAAGGACTGTTCCTACCCATTGACCATTTTTTTGGGTTTTATAGATCAGTAGCACCCCAGGTTTCAACACACACCACAACTTGGTCCAGCTCTTCAGAGTACCACGTATCTACAGAAAGTAAGTATAAGAAATAAGGCTCTGTTTTTCTCTTTCTGCTCCATAAAACGTAAACTGAATAATGGCAAATAGGATGTTTTAATTTAAAATTTCTAGAAAACGTACATGTTAAAGTCAATAGATATTCTTTTAAACCTACTAAATGGCAAGCATTAATAATAAATATAAAAATAGCATGGCTCCTGCTTCTGAGGTTCTTAAATTCTAGTGGGAGACTGGGTCACCAGTTTCAAAATACTGTACTAAGTAGAATGGCTTTCTAACCTCCTAGGTTAGGTCAGGGACTATTAAAATATACTTTCCTAATAGTCTCCTCTTAGCATCTGTAACAGCTGTAATTTTATTTCTGTGAGTATAAGATTATTCTACCTTTTAAAATCTTATCCCTTTACCACTACATAAAGTGCTGCAAACACTGCTAACACACACCAGGAATTCCCTAAATATTTGATGAGTTGTAGAAAAAGGGAAGAACATCCTCTATCCCTAAAATCACCTTCTCTAAATTATTCCATTGTTAGTAATTACATAGAGTATGCCATATAAACTTCTTGGGAATATTTTAAAACACAAGTCACATAATTCTCTCTCTAGTCTTATAAAATGTTCCTCATCCTAGGGTTTAATGCTATGTAAAAAAAATAGTCTATAGCTATCTTTTCCTATTCTATATCTGTAATCCATTAAAAGTGTTTCTATGTAAATCACTGAGTTCACAGTACTGAAAAGGATGCTAATATAGTATTAATATTAAAAACTAGGAATTATCCTCAGTTTTATTTACTGTAAAACATCTGTTCTCTCAATGCACTTACATGAATTACGAAATAAGTATAAGGCTCCCAAATTCCTCAAATAGGCATACCACAGTAACAGTAGATAAGAAAAATTTAGAAAGGGGGCATTTGGAATCAGACATGAAAAAAAGAGAAAATCTTTAAGAAAGAGTTTTCACATATGTAAAAGAGATGGAAAGTAAGAGTTACTCTGAGATAAGATTCTAGATCTTGGAGATGTGATAGTAAAACATGAATGGTAAATTATCAGAATTCAGGTAGGATTTAGAAAGTCAGCCAGGGGAAGTATTAGGGAGTTTGGGGGAACTGGTTGGGGAAATCCAATGTCAAAAAGACAAGAGTAGATTTAGCTCTGAAAAACCCAAGTGTGATCTGGAGCTTGAAGTCTTTTAAGTAAAGTCAAAATTAGAAGGTGTTTTCAGCACAACATTGAAGAAGACCCTAATATTACTTGAACTCTCAGGGAAACCAGCACTAGACTCCTATGTTAGTAAGAGAACTTCAATGACAGATCTCATAAAGATTTTAGGTTGGTGATTATACCAACTCTTTGGGAAAGCGCAAAGCTTTCAGGAATGGGGTGATTTTTAGGTCAATGCCAGATACTCAAATTTCTTGGGAGTCAGGGTTTTATAAGATCATTCTCAAAGTCAGCCTTAGTCTGAAAGATTACTACCAAATATCCTTCTGATAAAAACAAGAGAGAGTGATTGATATGATAAAAAAAGGAAAAATAAATAAGTGGGAATAACCAGAGGCCAAAATAATAAGTCATGGAAACAGCAATATGTACATTTCTCTGAAAACTAATCCTTTTCAAATGATAATTTTTATATTAATTTTGTATCATATCTTCTCAATAATGCATATGCCAAGTCTGTAATAATACTAAATGATAATCTGAAAATAATTTTTTTTTAAATCCTCAAGGATATTTTCCCATTGATTTTTGAGAGAGTGGAAGGGAGGGGGGGGGGTGAGAGAGACATATTGATTGGTTGACTCCTGCACATGCCCCAACCCAGACTGGGCCAAGGATCGAACCTGCAACAGAGGTACATGCCTTTGACTGGGAATCAACCCAGGACTCTTCAGTCTGCAGGCCGAAGCTCTTGTCACTGAGCCAAACTGGCTAGGGCCAAAATATTTTTTTATAGCATATTGATTAGACTACATAATGTCGTACAAATCAAAAAGCCTTTTTAAACAAACTGCTATACATACTTGATGTTGTTGTCAAGAAAGAACAACATTAAGGTTCCTTCTCCCCATTAAGATTGGAACAGAGAACCTCTGGGATATAATTAATAGTTTGTCAGTGAAACACAATCATCCTAGTAGTTATTTATGTCTTGCAGGATGGCTTTAGTGTACTCTGGGCTTTCTTATCCCAGTAGATAAACATCCAGCAATAAGAATTCAAGATTCAATACAAACTGACCTTCAACCAATCAGCCATGACAATAACAGAAGGATCTGTGATTGAACTGAGTAACTCCTTTGTGGCTCTTTTCTTTTCTTCTCGGTAATTTTTCTTTTGCACCTATTTTACAGAAACAATAGCAAAATTAAAAATTCATTAGAAATGGGCAATTTATTTTCAAAATTTTTAGTTCTATAGAATCTAGAGTATAAAAGTCTAACCCTCTTTTAGAATTCTAGCATCTTAGGATAAAAGAACTACTTTTTTCAGTGTGATTTTTTTTTTTTTTGTTTTGTTTTGTTTTTAAGAACTGGTAGAATTTTTAGAGAAGTATGGTTAGAATCTAACTTCTGATCACTAGTTCAGTTCTCTGTATCTTTTAAAATAATTCTACCTTCTTAAAATTACACAATAATACATAAATACAATTTCCTGATAAAAAATTTAAAACAACACAAATAAAGCTAAAAAGCCATCTTTCGTATACCCTATCCTATTCTAATCCACAGAATTGACCACTGTTAACCATTTTGAAAACACTATCCTTTTAGCCCTTTTCTATGTATAGAACCTATCAAATATACAACTTTCGTGTTTGAATTTTTAAACACATTAAAAAACTGTTCTCCAATTCATTATTTTTTGGAGCATTTCCATGTCTCATTCATTCATTCATTCATTCATTCATTCATTCATTCACTCATTCAGTTATTCTCACCCAAGGATGTTTTTCCATTGATTTTTAGAGAGTGGAAGGGAGAGGGAGAGACAGAGACAGAGAAACATTGATGTGAAAGAGACATATAGCTGGTTGCCTCCCACACATGCCCTGACCAGCGCTATGGATTGAGCATGCAACCAAGGTATGTGCCCTTGACCGGAATTAAACCCGAGATCCTTCAGTCCATGGGCTGACGCTCTAGCCAAACCAGCTAGGGCTCCACCTCATTTTTTCACTGCTACATAGAATTCCTAGTATAAATAATAAGAGCTAACATTTACTAGGTATATTCTGTGTGCCAGTCACAGTTCTAAGCACTTTACGTGTTTTACTTCATTTAATCTTTATAATAACCTTGGGAAGTAGGACTATTAGTACCCTTATTCTACAAAAGATAAAACTGAGGCACAGAGAGTAACTTGCCCAGGATCACACAGCTAGTAAGTAACAGAAGCAGGATCCAAACAGAGGCAGACTGTCTCTAAAAGACATGCTCTTAATTGCCATGCCATATTGCTTCTAAAATTTTTCTTAATATATTCTAATACTCATAGAAATCTTCTCTGTTAGCAGTTTTTTCCCATTATGAACAATGCTTCAACGGTTTGCAACTGACAATTTTGCTCTTTCCTGATACTAGTATGTAAAATATAAATAACTAAGCCAGTTCTGAGATAATTTGGGAAAGTAGCAGTGAATTAATCTAGCCTTATTGCTTTGTTATTATTACATGGATGGGAGAATGGTGGTAACCTGTCAGTGATATGAATATTTTTTTTAACTATAACACAAAATCTTCCTAGTCTTACTGTATACAAATAACAAAATTTTAATAATTCTACAGCCAAAAAATTGTAGACTTTTGGTCTTTATTACAATGCACATATGAATTAAGAGTAGATTTAATATGAAATTATAAGTGCAAATAAATACAAGATCAAATATGGGGGGGTGGGGGAGAGGTACGAGACTACACAGGGATCAGTCAATTGGAAAGGATGTGTTCCTTAGGCTCCAGGGCCTGTGGTGATCTGGAAGGCAGGCCCCATAATGCACATTTCTTTCTTTCTTTTTTTAAAAAAATATTTTTATTGAGTTTATTTCAGACAGGAAGGGAGAGAGAGAGAGAGAAACATCAATGATGAGAAAGAATCACTAATCAGCTGCCTCCTGCACGCCCCACACAGGGGATCGAGCCCAAAACCCGGGCATATGCCCTGACCTGGAACTGAACCCGTGAGCTCCAGGTTCATAGGTCAACACTCAACCACTGAGCTGCGCCGGCCAGGCCATATTGCACATTTCTTAAGAGAAGCTGGAAATCTGAACTTGTAATTGTTGAATTTTTAAAACACCGTGTAGGTCAAATAAAATATAGCAGATCCTCAAATAACATCGTTTTGTTCACCATTACTTCATTATAACGGTGATTAGATGCTACGGAAACTTTACTCGTTTGTATCAATTAGCCGATGGTAAAATTGGTTTTGTCATCATTTCACCTCAGTTCTAAGAATCAATTGACAATGTGAAATGAGGACTTCTGTATATTTACCCAATGCCCAGATTCAGTCCATGCATGACCCAGCAGTTAGTAAACTTGAATTTCAAAGGGCACAGTGATGTGCCTGACTGAGGACAGCTCTGCAAAGACACCTAGTCCTCCACCCCTGCAGTGGCCAAGTGAGGCCTGAAACTGCTCTGAGAGAGTCATTATGCAGCCTTTTCAGTTGTCTCCAGAATGTCATACAAATATTGACATTTTTAATGTGTGCCTCTCTGGATTTTTTTTCTTCTTTCAGGAAGACACATTTACTTCTTTATCTTATTAGCCTACTTTCAAAAGCACATGCAAAGCATAATGTTAGTTATGAAATGACTGTGGAAACTAACCTTGAGAGATTCTTTTTTTGTGAGCTTGCTTGAAGCTGTACTGTCTTTCTCCGAGCCATTATAAAGTTTAGATTCAGACTAAAATCACACAGAAATGAACAACAACAAAAAATTAAAACCTTCATTTATCCTAAACATATGGCATAAAAATATTAATGTTCAAGCTATGCTTGTGACATTCTTCCCATTTATTTCTGTGATTTACACAAATGTTGATTTTCAAATACTGATTATCCATGTAGTATAGTATTCGGATTTAAAAACTAATCTACATTAGGGGAATAAAATATAATAAAGAAACAAAAACAGTACTATGCTAAACACTCTATGTGCACTACCTCATTTAATCCTCAAGGCAACCCCATGAGACAGTAGTATCTCCTTTTGCTAATAAGGAAATTAAGACCAAGAGATTAAATAACTAACTTCCCTCAAGTCACACACAGCTAGTAAGTAGATAAACTGGGATTTGTATTCTGGTTTGGCTAATTTCCAGTCTCATGCTCTTAGCCATCTCACTATATTGATTTCTCACCTTTTAAAACTGTTTATACATAATCTGACTCAGACTAAAATTTAATACTTATCTTCATGAACAATAGGAAATCTGTTTCCTACACATGACAAGATCTAGCTTGATAATTCCTAAAAGATTCCAGTATATAAGGGACCAACAGGCCAGAAGGGTATCATACAAGCTTGATAAATTAGGACACATATACTTCAAAAAATCCTTGCCATATTGTATAGCTAGTTCTGAAAAAAAAAAAAAAAATCCAGTGAAAGAGGTCTGCAGTCTTTTTAAATACATCACTAAGTTTTTACAATGACTAGGTTACCTTTTAAATACCAAAAATATTTTTTGTTGGAAATAGCTTACTAAGTTTCCTTCTTTTAAAATCTTATTGACCACTATATTTTTTGGTTGGTTTTGTTAATTGTCAAATTAACAAAAGAAGTATTCCTATAGCAGCCATACCAGAAACAATAAGGATATTTTTCCCATTGGTTTTTTAATTTTTTTTTCTTTATTGATTAAGGTATTACATATGTGTCCTTATCCCATTGCCCACCCCGAGAAACATTGTGAGAGAGACACACCCACTGGTTGCCTCCTGCACACTCCATACTGGGGCAGGGATCCAGCTTGCAACCCAGGTAAGTGCCCTTGACTGAGAATTAAAACCGAGACCCTTCTGTGCTCAGGCCAAAGCTCTACGCACTAAGCCACACCAGCCAGGGCACTGACCATTATCTTAACCATGAGAATCAAGATTTAAACTAGCTTTATTTACTCTAAAGCAATGCTGTCCAGGAGAGCTTTCTGAATGACAGAAATGTGAAATGTTCCATATCTCAGTTGTCCAATATGGTAGCTGCTAGTCAAATGTGGCTATTAAGCATTTGAGATGAGACTGATATAACTGAGAAACGGAACTGTTCATTTCATTTAATTTTAATTACTTTAAATTTAAAGAATCATGTATGACTAGGTGCTACTGTACTCAAAGAGCAGTTTCAAAGCATACTGTTTCACTAAGGTATGTAAACTTTCTTTCTAGGTTCCCTGCTCCCCCACCCCCTATTTATAGACTACATATAGGGGGCTGTGTAGGTGTGGGGTTTAAGTGTTTAGGCTTCTGAGTAGGAAGGAATACATTATACCATACACTCACCAATTCTGGTATTAAGATTTGAAAATAGGTTTTTAAAATCCTATAAATTGCATTGTATTTCTAGCCATGGCAGACCCAAGATAATCACTTTCTCTTTAATTTTCTTTAAGTATATTTTATATAAAATAATCAAGGCATTTCTCATGTATATGTTACCTACATATAAAGCACTATTAAAATTCCATCCTAAGTACTTTTACACATATGACAGATGGACCTTTATGTAACGAATACTTGAAAAGTTAAGCACAAATAAAATTTGTGTAAAATTATACATTAAAACATATGTAATCTTCTCAACCACTCCCAAGAACAGGAACAAAAAAATGTAAAGTGTTTTAAAGCAAAGTCATTTGCTGAGAATAGCAGAGAATTTACTAGCTTAAGAAATAGGTTTTCTTACTTCACATCTTCAAAGTTTGATTCCACAAACATAAGCTTCTCCTGCTATTAAACCTGACCAGAAGTAATAGTCAAAAGTCAAATCCCTTGACATATTATGGAAATCTAGTAAATTACAAACCCATAGGAAAACCAAGGCATCATATAGTGCTTCTCAATTTATTTCTCAAACACGTACTTTATATATAGGTATTCTGGTTTGAGAAAAACTAACTCAGGAAACTATGTCTTATTCTAAGAAAATGTCTTTCAATTGCAGGCTATTACTGTAAGATCTTTGGACTTACGTAAAATGTACACATTTTGATGGTCATTCAAATGAACCCCAAACACTTAAATATTTTTTTTTAAAAAAATAAATAAACCCTGAGAATTTCTCCAAATGGAACTATCAGATTTCAGTTTGAGAAGTACTGCTGTAGCAGCCATACCAGAAACAATAACTCCAGGGAGGATACTGGTTATCAAAAGGCCAAATTTGCAAGTGAACACCAGCCCCAGTGAAATGTTCCTTTTTTCACCATATCATCCATGGCTTAGACCAGTGATGGCGAACCTTTTGAGCTCGGCGTGTCAGCATTTTGAAAAACCCTAACTTAACTCTGGTGCCGTGTCACATATAGAAATTTTTTGATATTTGCAACCATAGTAAAACAAAGACTTATATTTTTGATATTTATTTTATATATTTAAATGCCATTTAACAAAGAAAAATCAATAAAAAAATGAGTTTGCATGTCACCTCTGACATGCGTGTCATAGGTTCACCATCACGGGCTTAGATATACCACATAACATCTCACAAGATCTGATAGGATTACAGTATTAGTTTACTCATCTTAAATGTTAGAAAAATGTTGTACTCATATATTTGGGGACAACAATACGCTTACCTTGCTCTTTGACATAGAAAGTGAAGAGTCATCTCTATTTTGAGAAATGTCTTCCCTTCCTCTTTCAAAACCTTTAAAAACATTGTGATTACATCAGTATCACTACTTTTGAGCATATATAGGTGCTAAAAGCAAATGCAAATAAGTCATTCAATTTCAAATATACATTATGTTTTATGTACATTAAGCCTAGACTGAATATACAGTTTTAAACTATTATAAGTTTAAAGGTTTCTAGTATAATAATTCTCTAGAATAAATTAAGGCTTCCAGAAGTAATGAAATCTTTCCCTGAACCCACCAACATCAAGCTACATACCACTTTTCTCTGCTCCTAGAGCACTCTGGATGAATTCAGACTTCATGGTGCTTTTGTTCTCCTAGTGAACTGTTTCTTTACAAAGATTCCTGATAAACATACTAACATACTAACATACTTTTCATACCTCTTGCCAAACTAGAAAACAATTCCAGAATTAGTGATTAAAGATGACCAGAGCAATAAATCTGGACTGAGGAACAGACTTAAATCTAACAATGTGCTTATTGTGAGAATTAAATGAAACTGCACAGAAAGCATTTAGCATAGTATTCTGCACCATAGTATACGTGCAGTAAATACTGACCCTTGTATCACTGTCACTATTGCTATACACATTGTAAAAGGATAAATCTAAAATATATGAGTGTACTGGGATAAACATGTACACATCTCTGCAATCATGTAACACTATGCCAAAAGCAGTTATATTAATGTTATAAGGGTGTAATTAGAGAAATGTTAATTCTGAGATTTATATGGCAGACATGAAAGAGCAGTCCTCATTTTAATGTTCTTTCTATTTTTGAGGGCAAGTAATATTAACTCTTCCCTAAAGCTATTTGTTCTGAGTCCAATAAAAACCTATATTAAAAATATACATATATGTATATATGTATAAATACATATACATATACTTATATACATATACTTACATACATAGATATATAGATATATACTAGAGGCCCGGTGCATGAAATTCATGCACTTGGAGTGGGGGGCCCTCAGCCTGGCGTGTGCCCTCTCACAGTCTGGGAGCCCTCAGGGGATGTCTGGCTGACAGCTTAGGCAGTCAGACATCCTTAGCGCTGCAGCGGTGGCAGGAGAGGCTCCCACCACCACCACTGCACCCGCCAGCCATGAGCCCAGCTTCTGGTTGAGTGGTGCTGCCCCTGTGGGAGCACAATGACCACCAGGGGGCAGCTCCTGCGTTGAGCATCTGACCCCTGGTGGTCAGTGCATGTCACAGCGACTGGTCGTTCTGCTGTTTGGCCAATTTGCATATTAGCCTTTTATTATATAGGATATAATTATTCATAGCCTGGGACTTAAAAATCATTTCTAGCATAGCAAAAATACCATTTATTCTATATTTGGTTTATATCAGCTAAGAACAAATCCATTCCATTTTCCTAATTCAGAGATTTTAGAGAATTTTTTTCTGTAATATAAAGAAGGAATCACCCCCTCCACCAGTCCCCCTCCCCCCTCCCGGCCCCCTCTGGTAAAGACAATGACCACACAACTCCAACCCTTGGGGGAAAAAACCTGTCTCATAAATCCAACATAGAATTTTAAATGAAAACTTTTCAGAATTAGAATCTTTACTGTAAAACAAACTGAAATTATATAATTCAGCTTAAAAGTTGTGAAATATTTCAGAGTAATAAATACTTGTAATAGGTAATTCTCAATGCTATAAACTAATATAAAACACTTCGAGAAACCAACATGGTGGCATAGGTAAACATGGGAGATTGCTGCCTCGCACAACCACTTCAAAAATACAACTAAAAGACGGAACGGACATCACCCAGAACCAAAGGAAAGCTGGCTAAGGGGAAATTCTACAGCTAGAAGGAAAGAGAAAAGCAAACCGAGACTCAGAGGAGGCGCAGTGCGGAAAATACAAAGGTGCGGAAGTGCATGCGGAGCGGGCTGGTGGCTGAGGGTACGGTTGTCTGTTTCAATCGGGAGGGAGTCTCAGGCTCTGAGCTCCAGTTCCGGGCAAGTCTCTGAGAACCCAGACTCAAACGGGAGAAGCGGGACTGTCTGGCAGCGGTCGGAACTTGAGGGCAGCTTTCTCTCCGAGGTTTGCAGCAGTTGCTGGGACTCTGAGAGGCAGAGCCTCTGGGGACAGGACTGAGAGCAGCCATAACTGCTCACTCGGCCCGCCCTGTTGATCCCCTGGGACCCGCCCTGCCCAAGCCTTGCACAGAGGCATTTGCGAGATAGCCTTAGGCAAAGGCTAGATTAGCACCTCCCTAGAGGACACAAGTTCTCCCACTGCAGACACAGGTGATTCTCACAGCCAGTTGGCCTGGAGGTCAAATCCCCCCCAGTATTACCTACAACAATCAAGGCTTACAACAAGACTGCGCACAAAGACCACTAGTGGGTGCACCAAGAAAGCATAAAAAATGCAGAGACAAAGAAACAGGAAAAAATGACAGAAATGGAGGATATAGAGTTCAAAACCACACTTTTAAGGTCTCTGAAGAACTGTCTAGAAGCCGCCAATAAACTTAGTAAGGCCTTCGAAAAGACTGGTGAGACCGCCAATAAAAATAGTGAGATCCTCAAGAAATCTAATGAGACCCTTGATGTTGTGATTAAGAACCAACTAGAAATTAAGCATACACTGACTGAAATAAAGAATATTATACAGACTCCCAACAGCAGACCAGAGGAGCACAAGAATCAAGGCAAAGATTTGAAATGTGAAGAAGCAAAAAACACCCAACCAGAAAAGCAAAATGAAAAAAGAATCCGAAAATACGGAGATAGTGTAAGGAGCCTCTGGGACAGCTTCAAGCGTACCAACATCAGAATTATAGGGGTGCCAGAAGATGAGAGAGAGCAAGATATTGAAAACCTATTTGAAGAAATAATGACAGAAAACTTCCCCTACCTGGTCAAAGAAATAGACTTACAAGTCCAGGAAGCGCAGAGAACCCCAAACAAAAAGGATCCAAAGAGGACCACATCAAGACACATCATAATTAAAATGCCAAGAGCAAAAGACAAAGAGAGAATCTTAAAAACAGCAAGAGAAAGAAACTCAGTTACCTACAAGGGAATACCCATACAACTGTCAGCTGATTTCTCAACAGAAATTTTGCAGGCCAGAAGGGAGTGGCAAGAAATATTCAAAGTGATGAATACCAAGAACCTACAACCAAGATTACTTTATCCAGCAAAGCTATCATTCAGAAGTGAAGGCCAGATAAAGAGCTTCACAGATAAGAAAAAGCTAAAGGAGTTCATCACCACCAAACCAGTATTATATGAAATGCTGAAATGTATCCTTTAAGAAGAAGAAGAAGAAAAAGGTAAAGATACAAATTATGAACAACAAATACGCATCTATCAACAAGTGAATCTAAGAATCAAGTGAATAAATAATCTGATGAACAGAATGAACTGGTGATTATAATAGAATCAGGGGCATAGAAAGGGAATGGACTGACTATTCTTGGGGGGAAAGGGGTGTGGGAGATGCGGGAAGAGACTGGACAAAAATCGTGCACCTATGGATGAGGACAGTGGGTGGGGAGTGAGGGCGGAGGGTGGGGTGGGAATTGGGAGGATGGGAGTTATGGGGGGGGGGAGAAGAGGAACAAATGTAATAATCTGAACAATAAAGATTTAATAAAAAATAAAAAAATAAAAAACACTTCAAAGATCTTCTAAATATATGTACAAGAACATAAAGCGCCCTGACCGGTTTGGCTCAGTGGGGGATAGAGTGTCGGCCTGCGGACTGAAAGGTCCCAGGTTCGATTCCGGTCAAGGGCATATATCTTGGTTGCGGGCACATCCCCAGTAGGGGGTGTGCAAGAGGCAGCTGATCGATGTTTCCCTCTCATGGATGTTTCTAACTCTCTATCCCTCTCCCTTCCTCTCTGTAAAAAAATCAATAAAATATATATATATAAAAAAAAGAGCATAAAGCTTTTCTAAAAGTACATAATGTAAATAAAAAATGATGTCTTTTATTCTCACAAAAACAGACTTTAATTTCTCTAGTGAAGTTTTATATTCATCTGAATTTAGACAAATCCATTTATTAGATGAAGAAAAACACCACTTCACTGTGTCTACATTCACATATTATTTTAAAAACTGAACAGTAAATTAAAACAAAAGCAGAAGTTGTAAGTCTGAATAAGCTTTTTTTTTTTTTACCATGCAAGTATGTCTTATAGAAAGTTTCAAATGTTTGAAAAGGACATTAATAAACTTAGTTTGTATGTTATCTGTCAAAACCAATAAATCACATTTTAAAAGATTCTCTAGCCAGACTGATGTGGCTCAGTGGTTGAGTATCAACCTATGAACCAACAGGTCACATGCCCGGGTTGCTGGCTCGATCCCTAGGGCGGGGCATGCAGGAGGCAGCCAGTTGATGTTTTTTTCTCATTAATGTTTCTATCCTTCTCCACTTCTCTCTCCCTCAAATCAGTAAAAACATATTTAAAAATAAGAGATTCTCTATATAAACTTTTAAAAAACTACTATGGTATCACTATGAGTACATGGGCAGGAGTACCATTTCTATATTATAGCTCATTATAAAGAAAAAGTTCATATCAAATGTACTTCTGAAGGTAGAAATGACAAAATAATTAAAATATTTTCCTAAGGAAACTAAAATGAAAAAAGGTTGTGATCAAAGTAGTAAGATAAAGTTACCTTTAAATGTCAGATGAAAAAAAAAAACACACACCTAAAATTTTTCTTTTCATTACAATAAAATGACCAAGACTTCCCTTTTTTAGTTTTAACTTTAAAAAATACATAAAAAGCTGCTTGCTTCGTGGAAGTACTTAATTCCACTTAAAACATATTTAAAGGAGCTGATAAAACATATTTTAAAGAGCTTTTTATCATGGTTGGTTATAATATAACTGTTGGTTGTATTAAGTGGAATATGGAAGTATCTGTATGAATATGATATTTTCTGTTTCAAGAATTAGAAAAACAAGCCAATCATTCACTTTTCCATTCAAACAAATTGATCCAGGATGA